GATGGATGGATGGATAGACATAATGGATCGAAGGATGGATAGCTATAATGAACCGAAGGATGGACGGATGGATGAATAGACTGATGGATGGATAAAGGAACGGACAATGGACCGAAGAATGGATAGATGTAATGGATGGATGGATGGATAGATGGATATAATGGATAATGGATGGAGGATAGGACAGACAAGCAGATGAGTAGAATGAATAGATGAATGGATATGATGAATAGATGGATACAAAGAATGAAATAGCAAGAAAGAGTAAAATATAGTAAGAAAGACTGAAAGGATGGATGGATGAACAAATGGGCAGGATGAAAGATACCCAAAAAGAATGATATAAAGGATGCATGGATGGAGAGACGGATGGGTATGATGGATGGATAAATTGATATGATGAATGGATGGATGCATGGATAAAGGAAGGGACAATGGACCAAAGGAGATATGATGGCTGGATGGACAGATGGGCAGAATGAAAGAGACCAAGAAAGAATGATATGATAGATGAATTGATGGATGGTCGATGGATGGATGGATGGATGGATGGATGGATGGATGGATGGACAGAATGAAAGATAGTAAGAAAAAAACTATATGATGGATGGATGAATGGATGAAGCAACAGACAAAATATGGAAGAATGGATAGATAGGATGGATGGATGGATGGATGGATGTATAGATGGGGAGAATAAATGACACAAAGAAAGAATGATAAGATGGATGGATGGATGGATGGATGGATTGATGGATGGATGGATAAGATGGATGGATAGATGGGCATAAAAAAAGACATAAAGAAAGAATGATAAGATGGATGGATGGATGGATGGATGGATGGATGGATGGATGGATGGATGGATGAAGGAGCAGACAACAGATTGAAGGATGGATAGATAGGATGCATGGATGGATGGGCAAAATAAAAAACCTGAAGATAGTATAATATAATGGATGGATGGATGGATGGATGGATATAATGGATGGATGGATGGATGGATGGATGGATGGATGGATGGATGAACACAATATAAATACCAGAATTAACAATACAACTTGCATGGATGGAATGCCACAATTACAATGCACTGACAGCAAGTTAATGGATGTATGAAATACATGCTTTACTGCTATTTTACACTATTGTTTTAATTGGTTCAACAGACACCATTGTTCAGTACTCAGTTAGGCATATTAGTGTCAACCTAGAGTACTAATTATTAATGCAGTAGTGATGTATGCAAACAAATTAAAGAAAGTCTTTTACAGACTGGGGACAATTATACTGACAAGGTTTGCATATAATGTGCTTACTGTCAAGAGATTATTCATTTGAACAGCTTCCTTCCAATGCATCGAATTCCCTAGTGTAGTCATTATAGTTTAACTGCAGACACAAGCTGGATCCCACTGTATGTTTATTTACTTCCCGAACTCAAGAAAATCACCTGAAAGAGCAGTCTGGGTGCTTGAATAACAAGCAAATTTGAAACTATGAACTCTCAAAATGACTAAATAAATCTATCCCCGAAGAGCCTTTATGTTTATTTATGATGTACCTATCAAGTTGCTCAGTGTGTCTTCTGAGAAATTTCAAGTAAACTATTGCTAAACATGTGCACATTTATTTGTTTACCATTAATAATGCATTATTCAGATGTTGAGTATTCCTTGCCTTTGAGAGAATCTGCATAGGGTTTTGGAAAAGCAAAATAATAAATACATCATCTAAATTCATGTACAAGAGATTTGGCATCAGCATCCAGTCACATAAGCTTTCCTATACAATCTTACTTCCCACACATTCACATTTAAACTTTAAGATTTTCTGACACATATTTCAAATTCACACGGATTGCACCCCAGCATCCTCTATCGATCAATCACACCATGTGGATTCTCCCTGAATCGTTTAAGAGCACAGCTGTGGCTCCGCACTCATTTAAAACATCTCATTTACAGAGGAATCTAAAGTGATTAGAAGCAGCAACTGATAGATAACCTCTCAGGACTTCCTGAAAACACATCTCTGAGATTTATCATCATGATATCGAAATCAGATTAAGAAGGCGTCTTGGCCATAACTTATCTTTCCCTTGATGCATATGATGACCGTGGTAAAAGAATGAGTCACTGAAATCCAGCAATACGTAGGATCAGGCTTCTAAACATATTCACATCTAATGCAAAATTGTCAAAAATATGGTATTAATTCAACAAACATATATTAAGTTACAAATTGTTGAACAATGAAGCAAAAGAGACAGGGGCAGGTCATGCTAGACAAATATGTCTAACATACTGTAAATAGCAACCATTATTCATGAGTAGCCCTTAAAAGTATTCGGACAGGTTTGGAACTATATGTGAAAAAAGTCATTGCATTAGATAATAATATATCAACCAAAAAAATCAACCACTGTGAAGCTGTTCCCAAAATTAACTTCTCCTTTCTGAGTCATTTTTGCATTGACTTTTCGTCAACTGTTAAATCCTAAAGCACTTGCCATACTACTGTCCATCTGCTAAAGACTCAACAGGAGCTGTTTGTGTATACATAGAAAACAGCATTTCCAATGCATCAATAAATTCAGCTGCATTTTAGGCATAACTAAGCACAACGTTTTTTATAACTGCAATGTATATTTTGGTGGAACCGAGAGCAAATTTACAATAGGATATTTATGATTTATATAATTTGATTTAGTCAATCCAACTAAGTATGAATGGATTGATGGAAGACAGATTTCAAGATACATCAATACTATATATACATGTACAGACAAATAATGCTGAATATAATGGGATGGATGGATGGATGGATGGATGGATGGATGGATGGATGGATGGATGGATAAAGGAAGGGACAATGGACCAAAAGAGATATGGTAAATGGTCAAATGGAGGAATGAAGAGATGGACAAATTGAGGGATGGACGGATGGATGGATAGACAGATGGACAAATGGAGGAATGAAAATATGGACAAATTAACAAATGGACGGATGTACAAAGCCCTCAATAGTGATTAATAAACCACACTGACCTGAGCTGAACTGAACTTAAACACTAAATGCTGAACTACACTGTTTCAATTGACTATGATCTTTTATGTGAAGCTGCTTTGACACAATCTACATTGTAAAAGCACTATACAAATAAAAGTGTATTGAATTAATTTGAATGTACAAATGAACAAATATAGCAATGGATGGATGAACAAATAAACAAATAAAGGGATGGAGGGAAGGACAAATGATTAAATGGAGAGATGGACGGAAGAACAGATGAACAAAAGGAGGGATGGCAGGATGAACAAATGGTGAAATGGAAATATGGACAAATAAACAAAAGGAAGATGGACAGATGAGCAAATGAACAAATAGAGTGATGGATGGATGAACAAATAAACAAATGGAGGAATGGAAAAACGATCAAATGGAAGGACGGCATAATGAACAAATTATCAAATGGAGAGATGGATGGATACACAAACGGACGGATGGAAGGATGGACAAATACAAAATTAGAGGCTTGAAAGGATGGATGGCTAGACAAAGAAACAAATGGATGGATGGACAAATGGAGGGATGGACGGATGTACAAATGAACAAATGGAGGGATAGACAAATAATTAAGTGGAAGAATGGACACATGAACAAAATGAGGAATGGAAAATGGACAAATGAACAAATGGATCATGGATGGATGGGAAAATGAACAAATGGATGGATGACAGATGAACAAATGAACAAATGGAGACATGACGGATGGACAAATGAACAAATGGTGGCATGCATAGATTACCAAATTAACAAATAGAGGGATGGACTAATGAACAAATGTAGGGATAGATGAATGGACAAATGAAGGAATGGACGGATGGACAAAAGGAGGGATGGACAAATGGAGGTATGAATGGATGGATGGTTGAACAAATGAACAAACGGAGAGATGGACAGATGGACAAATTAACATATGGATGGATAGACGAATGGAAAAGTGAACAAATAAAGAGAGATGGATGGATGGATGGATAGATAGAAAGGCGGACGAACACTATGCTAAATAGCAAGACAAAATAATGAAATGAATGAATGGACAGGTGGATGGATGTATGTTAAGATAGAATAACTATATTCTTTAAACCTGTTATGTTTACACTCATGCATGTTATAAGATCCAGCTACTAAAAAGGTTTATATTGCAAAGATTTTTATGGCCCTTACTAAATTAGCATTAGCATCTATGGTTTGTACTGTAAATATTTTAGAATAGACCATCTTTAATCTACAATGAGATCTGTATAATGAGCACCCCAGTCTAATCCCAGTCAGGGATAAAAACTAAACTGCCCCTCTCTTACTTTCCTCATAATATGTTCACAAACGCAGGCAACTTTCAATCTGATAAATCTGTGTGGTGGAAAATCATTAAAACTTCTAGGAATCATCAGACTTTCAAATGGAAAGAGAATCTGTTTTTTTAGGCGTTTGTGTCTGACAGAGCAGTGTAATACTCATGGCACCTCGCTCTGTTCTGGGATCTGTTGTTTGTTAAACCATGGAGAAAGAGGCACTGGAGCGCCAAGCACACAATGAATTTTAATGAAGATGTAGAGACGGAGAAACTAATTTCTGACGGAAACTTAAACTTTCTGATTTGGAAGAGATGGGAGGAATTTCATCAGACACGCGTTTCGTGATAGACTTCAAAAAGCAGGAGAAAATATGTCATGGGAGAAAGGTTTCCAATTGATTTAATTAATATAGTTGCTGAAGGTTTAATTAAACAATGTGAGGGGAAAGTTTTCTAACTTTTAAGCACGTCATGCCACATTTAACCCCAAGATACCTTCTTATTTAAACTACGGTCACTTTTAACCCTCGGAAATGAAATGTTTGACTCTTATAATCCTTAAAGAGGTCAGGCAGGCCTTTTAACCCTGGGTTATGGGACTCATTTGACCTTCAGTTACAGTGAAACACCAACTCACCATGCTCTTTTGACACAGTCGTGCACATCTTATCAGTGAGATGAGAAACGTTTCCAGTCATTTCAGAGTTTTCCTTCGGTGACTCACTCTGAATCACTTGAGTCTGGTTAACTGCTTCTTCAGGTTGCACCTTCGGAAAAATGTAAAACAAACAAATGTTTTATGAAAAGTTTTTTAAATCTTATATTTATATCAGATGAGATCTGAATTTTTCATAATGTCTGACAGGAATCCTTTGAACATACCTTCAAAAAATCCACACTGATTTTATGAAAATTCTTGGACTTGTACTCTTGCATGCGGAGATGATTTTCTTGATATTTTTCTTCCACAATTTGTCTATAATAAGACAAAACCTGCATGTAAATTTAGGTTCAAGCTCGTTTTAGTAATTTCAATCAAGCATTTCAGTTATTTCAAATGTCCTTATAGGGGTGATCCACTACGATATTTTAAACTTTAGTTGATGTGCAAAGAGAAAAAATTCAATGCAAAGAGAGAGATTGGCTTATAGTTAGCTTAGCAAAGCCTATAGCGAACAAAGTTTGGGAACTACAAAAAATACATCCAGGCTAGTGAGATCACAAATGCTTTAGGTTACGCTCATGCCCCCTACGCAGTAAAGGGGCGTGGCCAGAAGCACAGTAATGCTGAAATGTACTGTAGCAGAGAAAGCTAAAATGCCTTCCAAACACTGTTATTTCCACAGAGCCTGTTCTGTTTCTGTATTTGGGCTTCCAAAGAACACGACACAAAGACAGAAGTGCTTACAGTTTAATTAAATGATGTTCCAGAAGATTTTAAAAAACATATAGCTAGCATTTGACAAAGGAGAGCTTCCAGAATCTCTCCCAGTTCTGTGCTGGATTAGGCTAAAAACTCCTCCAACCATAATAGACGACGCAGTGGGTTGTGAGACATAACCTTTAAGTATTGTCATTTGTTATAATTGATCTATTACATGCACAGTTTCTAACGTTAACGGTATATTGTAGCAAGGACGTAAGCAAGGATGTAAACAACGTGGAATACTGTTTGGCACTGCCAACAATTTAGCTATAAATTCGTAAATATCCGTCAAACCACTGTAAACACTCACAATCTTCACAAGTAGGGTTGGGTATCATTTGGTGTTACTTCGATACCAGTGCTAAGTTGACACTTTTAAAATGGTACCGGTGCCAAAACAGTGTCTGAACCGATACTTTTGAGCCACAAAATTATAGTGGATGACTCTAGAAAAATCTTTTATTTGCTAAAATCTTTTAATAAAATAAATTTAAAAGAACAATATAATTAAAGTTTAAAGTAAACATCAATTCATATTTTATATATTTGAATTTCATTAATATATTTCCTTTGATCATTTGTTGGCTAGCATGAATTTAATATTTGCATTATGAAATTACATAATAGTCTGAAATTACATAAGAGTCTGACCCCTCTAATTAATGTTTGATTCTCCTAAAGGACATTAAAACAAGATATTGGGGGGCGGGGTCTGCCCTTTAATAGCTAAGAAATAGCTGCTCTGATCTGTTTCCTAAATAATATGATGGTTTCTACTACATTAATTCTTCCATGGTGGGGCGTACAGAACAAGCGTCTCGTTCATAATGTGCATAATAGCACAATAAGTCCCCTTTAAGCTAAAAATGACAATCCGTTGTCTTGTTTTACCCACAAAATGCACCAATTCAAATTATTCATACACTATTTTTCCATCTCTTACTTGAACAAAACAAGATGTTTTCATTATATTGACTATTTTAAACAGTTATGAAAAACATCCAAAATCTGTTTTTTATCTAGTTACTTAGAGTTAGACTTATGTTAGAAACATGTTTTACAAAACAAACTGCCCTTTTCCTACTTTCCCTTTCACATCACAACTAAAGCTCTTATTTTCTGCACAAATAAGCCTGGAACAACATGATGATAGAAAATGATGACACATTTGTATCTTTGGGTAAACACATTTTACAAAATAGCAGCGTAATAACATGCACGATACTTCAATTTGTTTTTGAGCATGGCATATGGGCCAACACTGACAGTTCCTGTTCTATCAGAGCATCACATATTACACAGGGAATCAAAGCTGACGTGAGACTCACTGCCAAAAATCTTTGCACCGTGAAAACAGAAGAGCCCTGACACTTGTGCTAACTTTATGGAAAATGAACTGCAAGTCACATCTGATTAAGATTCAGCGTGACATGGTCAGCGTGCCGAACGTCACTCACTTCAGCTTTCTTGCCTTCTCATCCGCTGCCTGGAGCTTCCGGAGCCGCATTCGTTCCCTGGGGCTCATTTTCTGCACCTCTGATCTGTCCTGAAGCGTCTGCAGATGCACCTTCTTCTGCCTGGGGGGGATCAAGGACTGGAATGACATTCACTAATGACTCTTGCTTTTACTTACAGACTTACAGATGATGTGATCAAGCTGCGGATGTTTATAAAATTGCTATGTGTAGATGATTTGTCAGCATGTCCTGTAAACCTTAGGTTTTCAGGTTTTTAATGCAATCCTATTCTGGTCACACAGTAAAAGCAGTGTAAAATTGTGAAATAGTATTGCAATTTAACATAGCTATTTTCTTACCGAACGTGGTTTAAAACTGAAATTATTCCTGTTAACCAAAGCTGCATTTTTAGCATCATTTCTCCAGTCTTCATTGTCATATGATTCTTCAGTGATTTTCTGTTATACTATGATATTTTTTATTGGTACTCAATCATTAATAATTATTCTTTTAATGATCAATGTTGAATTTTGTGGAAGCTGATACATTACATTTTTTTAGGATCCTTTGATGAAGAACAAGTTTTAAATAACCACATTTATTTTAAATGTAATATTTTAAATTTTTTTACATTAATAATGTTTTTACTTTTACTTTTGAATAATAATGTGCCCTTTGAAATGTTGAAACTGTAGCAGCCTAAGGGATCTATTTTAATGATCTAAGCGCAAAGTCTAAAGCGCATAGCACAGAAAGCATTAATGATTTGTCCGAACCCACTTTTGCTATTTTAAGGACGAAAAATACAGTTTGCGCTGCAGCGCATGGTCTAACAGGTTAATGCTTTTGCTCTTAATGAGTTATGTGTGCCTTTTGAGAATAACGTGCATTAAACCAATCAGAGTCTCATCTCACATTCCCTGAAACAACGTGGCGAAAAAAAAATTGAAAATCAGAGTTGCGCTGGTCTGACAATAGCAACAAATCACATCGTCTTGCACCTTCTCGCACCGGGTGTAACATAGGCCCCTAAACATTTCTTGAGCACCATATCATTATATTAACCTACTTTTAAAATGATAGCTATTGAGTAACAGTTATGGAATATTGCAGTACTTTATTTGCAGTAAATTATTAATCACTGTGCATCGTTATTGTTCTTAAATTGATGTGTCTTTTAGAATTAACAACTTGTCAATCACAAAAAACTCACCAAAGCAAACCATAACCATCCAATCAATTCTCAAAGACAAATTCAAGCTCCAGCCCAACATTTGTTTATGTTTTGTTAAAAAATATGTCACGAAAAGTTTTATGACCTCATAAATATTTAAAGTGCATTTTACAAATAAATACATTTCATCAAATAAATACAGCATTGGTTAGCAGAATATGGTTCTTTAAAGCCATTTTTAAAATCTTAACAATCCCAAAATTATGTATATACATGTTTGCAATTGTTTAAAAAAAGTGTGGAGGAATAAAGAAGTAAGAGAGAAAGAATATATTTTTTTTTAATCGCTAGCATATTTATAATTCATGAACAATTAAAAAGGAATAAGGCATTTCATCTGAAGTTAGGACTTAATCTAACAAAAAAATAAGACAATCCAAACAAGGAAAAGTGTATCATTAGGTTATTCATGAGAACTTGTGTTCGACAGCTTTAGATGCTTTTTGTGCAGTCTTTGGACAGCAAGCATACTAGAACAGCATTTGAACAAGCTAATGAGCAAAAGGTTCAGCCACATTTCTCAGTTCAAGTTCAAGGCTGCATATAGTCTCATGCAAATAACTTAACTTCAACTTCTTTGCCTCATAATGAATTAGGGCGAAAAGAAAAAAAGCTCTAAAATAATACATTCATTTTTTCAAGTTACACAAAATAGATCCTCAAACTTTACCCTTTTAGTTTTTTATTATTAAATAAAAAAAATTATGTTTATTATTAGTTTTAAATGGTAATACTTTGAAATAAATCAAATTACAAGAATGTCTAAAAAGAAAATTAAATGCATTACATCAGTGCCGATATTCTCATGGGCAGAGCACCAACATTGTTGCGCTTTGGGTGTCCTGAATTTGGTTGCCAGCTTGCTGACTTTTCCTAATTCCTAATTCTACTCTCCAACTTCACTTCCTTTCTAAATATCCTATCCCAATAAAGGCTAAAACGCCTAAAATAAAATCTAAAAACAAGTACCATTTCATTGCATGATTATTTTATGTTTTAATAAAAACATTATGTCCATTGCCACTTCTTTACAGTAAATATTTACTTCAATATTGACAAGTTTTATATGGTTATTAATATAAATATTTTTTCCTCTAACTTAAAGCATTGATTACATAAAAGCTCTGATGCTCAAATGCTTGATTTGGCAATAAAAATGTGTTTATAAAATTTTTTTCCATCTGATGATCCTGACCTATACTGAGTGATATGATAGACAAGAGATGCACTAAATATATATTCACTGTCATGTCTGTAGTTGTGATTATCCAAACAAATAAGTTCAACATGTGCTTTAGACTTTGCGTCTAGATTGTTAAAATAGAGCCCTTATTTTGTAAAATTGTTGGAATAGTTCACACCCAAAATGAAAAATCTGTCATCCTTTACTCACCCTTCACTTGTTCCAAACCTGTTTGACTTCATTTCTTTTGTTGAACACACAAAAAATAGATATTTTGAAGAAAGTCAATTAGCCTTTGACTTCAACAGTGATCAACCATGGAAGTCAATGGTTACAGGTTTTCAGCATTCTTTAAAAAATCTTTTTATCTTTCTCATAAAGAAACCACTTGTATGAGTAAACAGTGATTAAATTTTCATTTATATGTGAACTATCCCTTTATTGCACAACAGCTTGCTGAATAATACAGAAAACAGACTCCCAAAATTTTCAAAAGGAAGTTCAATTCAATTAATCTTTGTTTCTATAGCGCTTTTACAATGTAAATTGTGTCAAAGCAGCTTAGCATAGAAGATAATAGTAAATTGAAACTGTGTCAGTCCAGTTTAAGCTCAGTTTAGTTCAGTTTAGTGTGGTTTAATTTTCACTTCTGAAAGTCCAAACACTGAAGAGCAAATCCATCGAAGTGTACCCAAAAAAAAAAACTGTTCTGCAAGCAATTTTGCTCGTTATCTCGTTATGCACTGTCGCCTTTAACGTTGCATAGATTTTCACTAAGTCATTGCTAACTATGATTGGCACATGCTCTGGTGACAAACTTTTAATTAGTGTGGGAAGCGCTGACTGAATTAATGAAAATCTGCTGCTTGTAGACTGCCATACGATTAACATGTTCCAAACACTAGCTACGCATCAACACAGCTACGTATTTTTAGGTCTCCCCAACAAGCTGGTGTGAAAATGCCTAAAAAAACACATACATACACACAGTAGAGAGAAAAAAAACAACAGCCCTGTTTCCAGAAATCCCTGGTGAAGACAGTGTCATGCATTTCTCAGCTGACAGCGTCACTGCAGGAACAGAGAAGTGAGATTGCCTGTAAATGTCGCTCTATGTGAGACTCATGACGTTGGATTCACTTACAGTGCTCTCAGGATCTGCGATGCATCTCTCTCTCCCCCAATCGACTTGTCTCTCAGTGACAGGATGGAGAACTTGTGTTTCATACTCTACAATGAGAAAAATAGCACAAAAAAAGGGTTAATGCCATTCTCTGGGACCTCATAACATTTTTTGAGCAACTAAAAAAAGAAAAACAACTGCAATAAAGCTGCTTTTCAATCACTAGAAAAAGTTTGCATATCTCTATACTCTGGAATCAAAAGAGAAAGACTGACTGTATCCGCTTTATCCATTTTAAGGAATACTCCCCATTTTTGAGAAAAATATTTTAGTTTTACAACTTCCTAAACAAACGTATTTATATGGTTATTGATGTAATACTTAAATCTGACACATTCTGTGACATTACTTTTCTTTAGAGTTAAATTATTTACCATTTTTTTTTATTAATTCAGCTGATCTCTGTCTGGCTGCATCACTTTTAGCATAGCTTAACATAGATCAATAAATCGTATTAGACCATTAGCATCTCACTCAAAAAAATTTTTAAAAAGTTTTGATATTTTTCCATATAACACTTGGCTCTTTGATATTTATCGTTCTGTAGTAGTTAGCTATTTTCTAGACTGAAATGGCTAGGGACTGTACTCTCAATCTGGCGTAACAATCAAGAAACGTTGCAGGTGTACCATGGCTAAAGCAGGCGCAATGATATTAACTGATGGTGCAAGTGTAGGGCTTAGGTGCTGGGCACTATTTTCAGGCGCTGTATAGTAGCATCATGGTACAGCAGCAAAATCTATCTATTCATTTTCCCTCAGTCTTGTACACGATGTAACTACAGAAGAGTGAAGCTTTAAAGCAGGGGTCACCAAACTTGTTCCTGGAGGGCCGAGGTCCTGCAGATTTTAGCTCCAAACATAATCAAACACACCTGAACAAGCTAATCAAGGTCTTACTAGGTATACTTTAAACATCCAGGCAGGTGTGTTGAGGCAAGTTGGAGCTAAACCTTGGAGGGACACCGGCCCTCCAGGACCGAGATTGCTGACCCCTGCTTTAAAGATTCAGTATGTATAATTGAGTGGTTGCTAGATGTTGCAGTCCAAATTCAAAACACTGGAGAGTTTTTTTTTTTTTTTTTTACGAGGTCCCTCTAACGACAACTAAATGCAAATGCGGGTTGCCAGATTGAAGACACAAACAGGTGTGACAATTGAGGCTTAAGGCTGATTTACAGTTTTGCATCAAGCCAACACGTATGCTCTGGCGCCACTAACGATGGACGGAGGTCGTGTCTGAAGTTGGTGCTGACGCAATAATCATAGCAGCATCAGCCAATGAAATTAGTCCACAATAAGCTACAGTCTGAGTTGGGTTATTTGCATAAAGCGATCTGATTGGCTGATGCTTCCATTGGCGTTTGAAAAGTTGAGAATTTCCCAACTTCTGCAGCAAGCAACGCCACTGAAGCTGTGCCGATGGATCCACTATGCAGTTCGGCAAAGCCTGACATCACCTATTCAAAGTGAATGAGAAGCATTGACGCTGACGCCCCGTTTGAATGGGGCGTGACATGCAGCTCTCAAAAATGTAACTACACTTTGCAACGACGCGTAACGCAAGCTCTGTGATTGGTCGGCATGGTATCGCTGATGAGTGTGGGCGGGTCTAAGAGCCGCACGAACCGGTTAGAGCGAGTGTTTACAAGTGTCGAGTCTCGTAAAGGAGGTCCAGATGAAAAGATTTGTTTTGTGTTTACCTTATGATTAAAGTTGTTGGACGTCCGCAGGTTCCTGCCTCAAAATTAGCGAGCTTGAGCCACTTGTAAATTAATGTATCATTCAGAAAAAAACAAAACACCAGCGAAGAAACTCGACACAGAGGAACCAAAAAAAAACTACTGTCAGCTAGCAATTCAGAAGTACTAGCGTAAACAGCGCGCAGAAGTGTAAATGCATGACAAGGCAAAAGGCATGCGCTGTGGGTCATGGCCATCACTTGGCGTAGAAGTATAAACCAGGCTTTAAAATTCGGTAGTAACCTGCTCAGCTAATGTCTACATATGTAATATTTGTATTATTTGCTAAAAACAACCTCAGTTGGATTTCGTCTCATTCTGGAGGATGCTAGTGTCCTCCGAAGGTCACTGAGCCTGATCAGTACCTGTATGGGAGACCACATGGGAAAACTAGGTTGCTGTTGGAAGTGGTGTTAGTGAGGCCAATAGGGGGCACTTAACCTGCGGTCTTTGTGAGTCCTAATGTCCCATCAAAGTGAAGGGGGCGATATATTGTCATTGAGCGCCTTCTTTCGAATGAGATGTTAAACCGAGTTCCTAATTCTCTGCGGTTATTAAAAATCCCATGGCACTTCTTTAAAAGAGTAGGGGTGTAACTCTGGTGTCCTGGCCAAATTTCCATCCATCGGCCCTTACCAATCATGGCCTCCAAATCATCCCCATCCATTGACTTGGTTCTATCACAGTCTCTCCCCTCCAACTATAGCTGGTGTGTGGTGAGTGCACTGGCGCTGTTGTCCTGTGGCTGCCATTGCATCATTAAAGTGGATTCTGCACACTGGTGGTGAAGTGAAGAGACTCTCCCTCATGATTGTGAAGCGCTTTGGGTGTATGGCCATACACAATAAATGCGCTATATAAATACACATTACTTACTTTAAAATGGGTAAACTGGCAGCGGGCGGAGATATACAGACCAAAATGAAGACAGACATTCTGAGGAAAAAGGTACAATTTTCTAAGAAGAATAACTGAATTTAGCATTGTTTTTCAGATAAACAAATATGTTCACTAACCATGTTTGCTAAATATCTGCAAACAAAGTATAGTATTTTATGCTTAAAATGATTTAAAACCATACATACAGCACCTTTAAACAGTAAAATTATCAAATTCTTTTGTCATCTTTGAGCGAGATGCTAATGGTTTGACCCAATTTAATGATCTATGCTAAGCTAAGCTAAAAACACACCCGAGAGACCATGAGATGGCTGAATAGATTCAAAATGTACATTCAGAATAAAATTCAACTGTTTCACTTAATGACAAAATGAGTCTATTTCCAAACAAAAGTGAAGTGCTTCTTTAAAGAACAAATACGAGACACAAATTACATAGGCAGCAGAAGAAAGCAGCGCAAACTATACACAACAACAGAGGAGGGAAAAGCTATCAGGGAGCATTGTGTTTGGAGTCGTCGTTTCGATGGCCTCTCCTTTCTCTGATTACATGTTTCTGAGTCGCTGATGGTGTAATAGCCGGTGGAAGACACACAATCCCACCAGGAGCTTTCAGACGGAGGTTAGGGGATCACTGGCTTGCCAAGACAGAAACGTATTACAGAGCTCCCTGAGGTAAACAAGTCAATATGAGTGTGAGTGATGAAAGGGTGCTATAACTGTACAGTAAGTATTATAAGCGAGATGCGTTAAACAAGGACTATTAAAAAATCAATAGGTAGGGCCATTAAAAGCATGCACTAATGACATGTAGAGAAGCTTGAGGCAAGACTCACTATAGTTCCCCAGATGACTGAATACAGTAAGAATTGTAATCATTTTTGTTTTATGAGTTTCTAAAATTTTTAAATATGCTGAATGACGTATTATTTAAGAGTGCACTCATTTGCATACGGCAGAAAAATCTGAACATTGGTTCAGGTTCAAAATTCTGTTTACATTTATTTATTGACATACTACACTACCTGACAAAAGTCTTGTCATCGATTTTAGTTGTAAGAGTAACAAATAATAACTTGACTTCTTGTTGATCATTTGGAAAAGCGACAGAAGGTAGATTTTTAAGATGAATCATCTGTTGATCTGCATCCCAATCATCACAAATACTGCAGCAGACCTTTTGAAACTGGCATGGACCAAAGATTCTCACAGAAAGGAAAAATCATGGTTTGGGGTTACAGTCAGTATGGCGGCATGAAAGAGATTTGCAAAATGGAGGGCAACACCAACAGCCTGAGTTATCAAGATATTTGTACTGTCCAATACATTACAAACCACAGGAAAGGGCAAATTCTTCAGCAGAATAGTGCTCCTCCTCATACTTCAGCCTCTACATCAAAGTTACTGAAAGCAAAGAAGGTCAAGGTGCTCCAGGATTGGCCAACCAAGTCACCAGAAATAAACGTTATTGAGCATGTCTGGGGTAAGATGAAGGGGGAAGCATTGAAGATGAATCCAAGAATCTTGATGAACTAATAAGTGATTTGAGTCATTGCAGAGATGTATGGATGCAGTCTTCCAAGCTCATGGGAGTCATACACAATATTAATTCTTTCCACTGCACCAAGACTTTATACTCTATACTGTACATTATTTCTGTTAACTTTTGTCTAAGTCAGACCTTAATGTCCTATAAAGTAATTCAAAATCAAGGCTTGATCATATTTTATTTTGGTAAAATAAGCGTAATCTAGTGGCCTTTGCATATAAGCCACTTCTGATACCAAATGATCAACTAGTAGTCAAGTTATTATTTTTTGTTCCTGAAACTTGTATAGGTGACAAGACTTTTGTCAGGTAGAGTCATTTTTTGGAATTTTGGGAATCTTTTTATAATTTTATGCTCAAAAAGAGCCAGAAAAAAAAAAGATTTTCACTATTTGTTTTTAATATTGTGAAGTTTATTGCAAGTACTGTTGATGTGAACATTCGTGGCTAAGTGCAGAATAAAAACTTTTACTAATATTTACTCTAATTATTGCTAAAGTTTTATGAAAGAAACTTTTAAAAGGGTTTTTTGGATTTTTTTTAAATTAGGACAAAATCCTCAAAATTTAGTGGTGCATGATTTTTTTTAATTAAGATGAAATCCTCCAAATTTGCTGGTGCATGAAGAAAAGGATAAGCAAAAAAAGATGTTTATTTTGCACTTATTAACAGAAGACATCCTTGTCTGAATGTGGGTGTTAGAGAGGGTTGTTCTATCTGGATGTTTCTTATGGCAAAAATTAGATACTGTATGTGAGATGATTATAATATATGTGTTAAAATTAATTAAGCATCATAACTGTGGAAGCTGAGCTCAGTGGACTGTGATCCGAGTCGCCTGATTATTTTTACGTTAGATAGTATGCCAGCATTTCTTCAACCACCAACTGTTATTTTACACAGAAACTTGGAAAAAGACCTAGATCCATAATGAAGTTGCACTGGGCATACCAACAAGAAATTTAGCGTTAGTTATGGTAATTGACAAAAGCATGAATAAATGAAAAGCAGCACTGGGGAAAAAATACATTATCACAAACATTCCTTTTGAGTTATATTTTGTGAGGCTCAAAATACAATTTACTTTTCAAGAATTAATCTTTTGTAAAGGTTCAGAAATTTAAAATAAATAATCTGTATGACTGTATAATTCTATTAATTAATAAACATTTGTCATTCCAAAATACAACATCATGGGGTATATTTTTCAACACATTGTTCACATTCATTATATAGTTTCAATTTTACAATTAAGACCCACTTTACATTATTGGCCTTAATAACTATGTACTAAAATTTTAATTAAACCTTTGGTATAATGCAGTTATTATGTACGTACATGCTTATTACAAACATTGTACTTATATTTTGAAAATGAACTGCATGTAATTACATCTGTAACTAATGTCTGTAATTACATCCATAATTATACTGTTGATCCATCCCTTTGACCTACTCATACCACCAAGCCTGTCCCTAACCTTACTTGTATCCCACCACAAAAACACTAAAAGTATTTACAAACTTTTTGTACATTTTGCTTTTTTTGAGGTAAGTTCAGTTAGGACCACTTAACAAAAAATAAACAGTTTTAATGGTAATGCTGTAACAAAACAAAACAAAAAAGTTAAATGAAATAAAATGTACTTAATTTAAATAATTAAAAGTAGAATAAAATAATCTAGTAAAAAATTAAATGAAATTAATTAAAAAATAAAATAAAATAAAAAATGAAAGTAATAAAATCAAACAATAAAATATAATTAAATTAAATTAAAGTAAAATAAATTTAAATAAATTAAATAAATACATTTAGATAAAACATTAAAATATATATTTAAAAATAAAACAAAATAACTAAATAAATGTAAAATATATAAATATAAATTCAATAAAAATAATTAAAACTAAAATAAAATAACAAAATAAAAGAAAAATTAAATAACATGAAAAAATAAATTTAAATAAAATAATTTAAAATTGAAACACATTTTTAAAAAAAATGTATTAAATAAAAATAATTAACTTAAATAAATTGATAATAAAATTTAATTAAAAATAAAATATAAATAAATTGAAAATAATTAATGATAATTATTTAAAAATTAATAAATCAAATTTAATTAAATTAAAATGTTAAATGTGTGTTTTTAAATTAATAAAATAAAAATTAACAAATGCAAAATAAAATAAAATAATAAAATTTAAAATAATTTCCCAGTACTGAGTTATGGCTGGAAGGGCATCTGCTGCGAAAAATATATGCTGGAATAGTTGGTGGTTCATTCCGCTGTGGTGACCGCTGATAAATAAGCAACTAAGCCGAAGAAAAATAAATGAATAAATGAATGAATGAATGAATAAATGAATAAAAAATAAATGACAAAAATAAATTAAATTAAATAATATTAGAATGATTGGGGTGACTTGTATCTGAATAAAATATAAACAAATATAAATATAAACAAAGAAATGACAAGCCTAGATAAGGAGAACTTTCACTCAATTATAGTTGCTAACTTTGTAACTAATCCACAAGTCCTATATGTTCTGAACGGTGGTATCTGGTCAACTACAATCCCCACTTGACATTGAACATCTTGTAGTAATCTCACTATAGATGTGCACCTCACAATGTCGATGCAGAAATGATGCATTGTGCAGTTCTAAACAGCGACCTGTTGCCATCACTGGGCTCTGGTCTGCAATTTTGGCTGAGATAGTGTTACAAAATTGAACCAGATTGAAATCTGCGGAAAAACTAATTTAAGCCTCTCAGAGAAAAGTAGTCCTGACCGAATAGGGCTAAAGAAACTTTTGTCGAAACTTTTACACATTTACAGAGTGATCGTGTGCCTGACAGATGCATAAAAATTCATATATGCCAGAGAACAAGGACAAGCCACAATCAATACAATCACCAAGCGGCAACAATGCCAATCACTGACATTTCAACAGTACAATCTGAAAAGGTTACGTGCGCGGTAAGTCAAGTGCGATGGCGAATGGATGATGTGATGAGTATGCATAACAGACTTTTAGAAAACCTACTGGGCTTGGCCTGAAATCAAAGTCTTCCTGGTGTATTATGGCCCTTCCCATTAACCTTTGAAGCAGAGCGCCTGAACAGCTGGTCGCAGGCTTTCTCCTTCAACTGATCTGATTAACAGCGTCTTCTCACCTGCAAGCTTTCCTCAATGAACCTGTTTCTCAGAGCATCTGCCGCCGAGATCCTGTGAGAAGAATCCTTTTCTAACATACTGAGAGAGAAAAAAAGAGAGAGAGACTTTAAATACCTGTTTAAAGGGTTAGTTCACTCAAAATGGAAATTCTCTTAAACTGTAAAACCCCAGTGAAAAAACTAAACAAAATAAGTTGGTTTAAATTATAATTATAAAGTTAGTATAGTGCAACTTGCCCTGACATGGAAGAGAAGTAATTAGTCATATTTCCAGTATAGAAAAGTCCACTAAAGGAGGTCAAGGCTTCTCATATAGGGCTCCTGAACTATGGAATAGCCTTCCTGATAAGGTTTAAGGCTCAGACACATATATAACTGCAAGTTAACTATGCTTATATAATAATAATAATAATAATAATAATAATAATAATAATAATAATAATAATAATAATAATAATAATAATATTAACTGTTAAAAGCTACGGTATTGGTAACTAGGTAATTAAAGTAATTATCAACGAAAAAAGATATGGTAACTAATAACTTAACTTTTCTAAATTTGATTGTAATACAATAATCTGCACCTTTAGTAAAGCTGCTTTGAAACAGTAATTATTGTGAAAATCGCTATACAAATAAATATTTACAGAGTTTTTTGGCACAAAATGGTATTTTTATTGTATAATTACAGCTAAAACACTAAAGTGCCATGGAAAATTTTGGCTGCTGTTTTGTACTTTGATCATTGCAAAGAGAGCACTTGGATCTAAAATATCTTAACTTGTGTTCTGAAGATAAAAGAAGATCTCAGGGAATTGGAATGACATAAATGTGAGTAATAAATAACCGAATTATACATTTTTGAATAAACTAATCTTTTAATGACCAAAAAAAAAAAAAAAAAAAGAATCTGTCATTTTTATTTTTTCCATTATTTCTCTTCTCTTTCCCTTAAAAATGAAGGCAAATTATACAGACATAGCAAATACAAAGAGAACATCAAACTGTATATTTGTTTAAAAAAAACAATCATTATCATATATAAATATTTAACAAGTATCACAATCAGCTTCACTTATGTAGATATTAATGTCTGCACTTCTACTGTTAAATGACAAAAAAGCAAATTCAACATTTAAACTGATTTCACCAAACGCCTAAAAATCGACGTAACGTCACTCTGTCCCATTTCAACAATTCTATTTTTCCATGACGGCCAATTAACCAACTATGCTAGGACAAAAACAAATATATTGTAAACAAAAGGCTCCCTATGTGAATTTTTGCATTTAGTGTCATAGATAAAGAAACTTTTAGTAAAAACTCCCTAATTGACAACAACATACTTAAACCAACAAAAAAAAAACAGGAACAAGCCTTTCACATTTAGAAAATAAATAAACAACTGTTACTGATTGCTCACTAAAAGAACACCCTTCCCCTACCTGTGGGTTTGCTGGTGTGGGTGTGTGTGTGTGTGTGTGTGTGTGTGTGTGTGTGTGAGAGAGAGAGAGAGAGAGAGAGAGAGAGAGAGAGAAAGAGAGAGAGAATTATGTTTAAAACCTCATGAAATGCTGATAGTTGTAGCTGAACGCTTCTAAAACCTGCTGGGATTTTTGCATAATCTGCTTTGAAAAACAGCTGAATCAAACAAGCCACTGATTTGTGTCTATCTTCTCATACACAGCGAGCAGACGGACAGATACAGGCTGACATTAACCCGATTTGTGCCTGCCAGGAGGAGGGCAGCATCTGTTTCCAGTACCTCTGCATTAGGGAGTTGAGCTGCCGTGAGTATGTTTCTGGCAGGGATGGAGTGGGTCCCTCTACAATCCTCAGCACCACGGCCAAGAAGTTCTGCGCCTCGAAAGCGTGAGCCAAACAGCACATCTCATAGAGGATACAGCCTAAAGACCTGCAGACATTCAACAAATAGAGGACAACTGAAAGAAATAGCCCATCTCAAGAGTCATATTAGGCACTGTGAGAATTCTACATTGACGATCAGGGGATACATTTTTTCGGCAATGTTAGTTTGTGTGATATATGCATCAGTCATTTATGAATTTATTGAAATTACATCTAATTTATCAATCAAATATATTTTAGTTTTTAATGTGTTGAGGGATATTAAATGTGTTCAGACCTACCAGCACAGTATCCTCTGATTTGCTATTTCAGATGTTACTGTAGATCAAACCATACAAACTATGCATCTAATGTGACTTTAACTTCAGGTTATATGTAGGTACAAACATTTATTTAGCAAGAAAGCAGTCTCAAGTGAACACTTACAATGTCTATCTGTGCTCCAGATCTTTTAGTTTCAGACTGTTGAACCTATGCAATTTTCTTTCTTGCATAGACTGATTGGTGCGATTATGCAATCACAATAGTATAAACCATTATAGGGGTGGTCAAATGTTTATTTATTTTATATATTTATTATTATATATATTATTTATAATATATTATATCTATTGATTTAATTATTAACATTGCTATTTAAAATACAGATCAGGGTGAACTATTTCTCAGTTTTAAAGGGGTGACCGCCTATACATCTTGTTTTCTTGTCCTTCGTTCAGGCGTTAATTAGGAGGGTCAATCCCCACCAAACTCCCTTGTAATTTGCACTATAATAATAGGTCAGATTGTTTGGGAAATCCACCCAAAATGTTATATTCTATCTGCATTTACTAATCATGTCGTTCAAAAACAAGAGTGCTTTAAAAGGGTGCTTTCAGATTTGATTTGTTTGTCTTCAAACTGAGTTTGATTGTGATGCATCAGTTAATGTGAGTAAATGCATAACCACACACAGTTTGACCAATTTGTTAGTAATAGCCGCTCACTTCCATGAATACATGCACATTAGAAGTGAACCATACTCTAGAACAGTGGTTCTCAAAGTGGGGGTCGGGACCCCTTGAGGGGTCGCGGAACAATGAAGGGGGGTCGCCTAGTGATTTCCAAAAATCTACTTATTATTAATATTAGACCATTAGAATTGCCATATTTTATCCATAACCAACTGAAGAGAAAAAAAAACAGCCGTTTATAGTTACTACAGTAGCTTATTTACTTGTTCTATTGGATTGCGACCCCTGGGGTAAATACATTATATTAAAGACAGCAAAAGCGTCAGATGCAGCAGATTGATTTTATAACACCAGGTTAAACTTTCTGGCCCATTTACAGCATTGAAATACATTTAAAAAATTAAACGAAGAATAGACTTTGGTCTATTGGTGTGTGTGTGTGTGCGCCCTTGCATGCAAGTTTTCTGTATTTATAACCACCTCAGAGGATATTGGGGGTCGCGAGTCACTGGCATTGTTATTTTAGGGGTCGCGTGCTAAAAAGTTTGGGAACCCCTGCTCTAGAAGATCAACCATACTCAGGTGGACACAGGTGGTTTGAGTTCAGAAAGCAGCATTCAAGCAAGACAAACTCAAATGAATTTGTGTGCACATAATTAGTGGAAATGGTGTAAACACTAATTCATTCATTTATTTTCTTTTCAGCTTAGTCCCTTTGTTACTCTGGGGTCACCACAAGCCGAACAAACCACCAACTTTTACAGCATATGTTTTACACAGCGGATGCCCTTCCCGCTGCAACCCATAACTGGAAAACAACCATACACACTCATTCACACGCATACACTTTAGACAAATTAGCTTACCCCATTCACCTATACCACATGTTTATTTTGGACTTGTGGGGGAAACCGGAGAACCTGGAGGAATTAACACTTTTCAATTCAAATTTTAAAATGGTAAGTATTGTAAATGTTGGGTGTTTACTTTAATATTTATTATTATTACATGCTTTAATATCATATGGAACACAAAATAATATATATATATATATATATATATATATATATATATATATATATATATATATATATATATATATATATATATATATATATATATATACACGTACCGGCCACTTTATTAGGTACACCTGTCCAACTGCTTGTTAATGCAAATTTACAATCAGCCTATCACATGGCAGCAACTTAAAACAATTAGGCATGTAGACATGGTCAAGACGATCTGCTGCAGTTCAAACCTAGCATCAGAATGGGAAAGAAAGGTGATTTAAGTTATTTTGAACACGCTGTTAGTTGTTGGTGCCAGAAGGGCTGGTCTGAGAATTTCAGAAACTGTTGATCAACTGGGAGTTTTACACACAACCATCTCAAGGGTCAATTACAGAGAATGGTCCGGAAAAAAATCTAGAGAGGTAGTTCAGTGGGCGCAAATGCCTTATTGATGCCAGATGTCAGAGGAGAATGGCCAGACTGGTTCCAGCTGATATAAGGGCAACAGTAACCCACATAACCACTCTATCCAGCAAGGGTATGCAGAAGAGCATCTCTAAATGCACAACACGTCGAAACTTTAGGCAGATGGACTACAGCAGCAGAAGACCACACCGGGTGCCACTCCTGTCAGCTTAGAACAGGAAACTTAGGCTAAAATTCACACAAATGAATTGGCCAATAAAAGTTTGTAAAACCGTTGCCTGGTCTGATGAGTCTCAATTTCTGCTGCGACATACGAATGGTAGGGTCGAATTTGGTGTCAACAACATGAAAGCATGGATCCCGCATGCCTTGTATCAACGGTTCAGGCTGGTGGTGGAGGTGTTATGGTGTGGGGGATGTTTTCTTGGCACACTTTGGGCCCATTAGTACCAATTGAGTGAATGCCACAGCCTACCTGAGCATTGTTGCTAACCATGTCCATTCCTTTATGACCACAGTGTACCCACCTTCAGAAGGTTACTTCAAGCAGGATAACGCACCATATTATAAAGGGTGAATTATCTCAGAATGGTTTCTTGAACATGACAATGAGTAGTACTCACTTTACTCGAAAGGCCTCCACAGCCCCAAGAACTCAATCCAATAGAGCACCTTTAGGATGTAGTGGAACTGGAGATTCGCATCATGGATGTGCAGCCGTGTCATGCTACTATGTTAATATAGATAAAAAAGGAATATTTCCAGTACTTTGCTAAATCTATGTCATAAAGGATTAAGGCAGTTCTGAAGGTAAAAAGGGGTCCAAACTGGCACTGTTAAGGTATACCTAATAAAGTGGCCGCCGAGTGTATATGACATTCATTTTCCTTAAACTGGAATGACATACAAAAGAAGACAATTTACAGTAAACTGAACCTTAAAATAAACTGTAAAGTAAAACAATGTTAAACGCTTAAATGTGATAGAGAACAATTGATTATGTTACGAACAGTTGTTTAAACTAGTGCTAAACTTTTTAAACCACTAACAGAGTTGACAATAACAAAGTTGACAATTTTCCACTATTTTGTGCTTTAGCTCAAGATGCTATCCTCAAACTAGACACCACATGGCATGTCTAAAACAGTTTGATGCATTTCCATCAATTTATTATTTTCAAAAAGTGAATAAGAAATTCACAACAGATGTTGCCACAAATAATTAATCTATTATTATATTGTATTCTAAACATTTTGTACATATTAATGAGAGAAGAATAAATGACATGCCTCATGCCTTCGAGAGGCCAGAGGAAGTGACATCAGATATAACTGATATACAGCAATAGAGCTGATCAGAACATAGGGACAGACACAAAACATATATGAAATGTAATTGGTCTGTTCATTCCCGAGTTTGATTGTAGCACACCAGTATTGCTTGTCAGAAAAATTAAGCGTAAATTCATAAATAGTGGGATTCTAAGTTATTTTCCAGAGCCAAGGTCCCTAAATACACATACAAACATTATTTAACAGATAAGATAAAATATTTTATTATTCAAAACTGTTTGATTAAAGTTTTTATTTAAAAAAAAGAATAGGTTTATCTTTGAGAAGTAATATTTCTCTAGAATCACCAATTTGTGTGAGTGTGTGTGTGTGTGTGTGTAGAAGAAGAGTTAATAAGAATATACTAAATCAACAGAAAACAGCCATGAATCACAAGCTAATTAGCAGGTTGATTTTTACAGTGTGGCCAATTACTTGTCACCAAAAATTAACAGGGTCATGAATAAATATTTTGCAATGAATCAATACCAATTATCATGTCAGGCCTATCCGTGCTGTAACATAATCAAAATTAATGCACACTGTCACATTAGAGCTTTTGGTGAAGATGGGTTTTCTGAACTCGTTTGCATAACTAGCAATCAGCAAAGATCTCAATTTTCCATTAGCATTATAGTTTGTGTCTTGCCATGCTGAAAAAACACAAACATTCAGAGAGCTAAAAGCCAAGGAGATAAATACGTTGTTTAAGGGTATCTCTATTTTAGCTTCTCCTCTTGTTCTCGGCATAGTGACCCCGTTCCTCCACTTTGTCTGCCGCTTGTGTTCTCGCAGGCTTGAGAGCACAGACTGAAGAGCTCAATTCCCAACAGGCTGCTTTGCGAGTCTCTCAGTGGCACATACACAATGAGGTGAGTGTGTGAGGAAACACACGGCCCTTGAATTAACAGCTAGGTGCCTGTAGCCGATTGGCAAATGAGATTGTCCTCTCTCTTTCATTTTATCTTTATTGTTTTCCAGTCATTTGTCCGCCTCGGTATTCGTACTTTGCTAATATGCTGTTGTTTCAGAGTTTCCCCGGTGGACCTAGTTTTTCTTCATAAATCTCTTTCAGCACATACTGTAAAAGGGAAGGGGGGGGGCGGGACAGAGCCCTGTGGTGTTCAGGAGCTGTCAAGTGAGAATATGGAAAGCATTTTCTGAACTCATTTTTGCACTTTTGCAGACTAAAAACTGCACAGCTCCAATTAGCTCTAAGAACTTAAGTGCAAAACAACAAAACGCTTTTGACTCTTATGAGAGTTTTTGAGTTTTTAGGTAATGTCACACAATAAGAAAATAATAGAAGGGTTTCCATTTTTC